AAGAATAGCTAAAATACATAGAATATCTGCAATGGTATCTAGTGTCGAGAAGCCTTGCTCTATGTGCGATTGGAATGAGAAAATCGACTGTGTCTGGGTGATTTTCAAGAAAAACTGTGTATACCTAAACATGTTCTAGCCAAATGATTAGTAATCGGTTCATTATGCATGTCTGAAACGCTTACGTATAGGTTTTTTTTTTTGAAAAACAATCTTTATTCATATAACAATACATTATTATACATTATATAATTTCTCTAATCAGTGCATAATAGCTCTGGCCTCGAGAAAATTAACTTTATATTAACAGTGTCGGACAATAATTGTTCGAACTTAATACAATCTCATAAAAAAAAATTACAATAATTTCCAACAAGTATTACCACAAAAGAAAACAAAACAGAAAACAAAACAAGAATATCAATTGCATATTGAATTTGGACTCTAAATGTAAAAACCATTTCTAAAAAACTATGTATAAACTATATACTATATTTCAGGAGGAACAAAATGTGGCTACTAACCCATACCATCGACTAACTGATGCCCAATATAGGTACTTAAATTAAGATTAAGGTCAAGTATTACATACTTAAGTATAGCCTAACTTTTTTAACAAATAAATCATATCTTTGGATATTTCTCAGACTTTCAGGTACCCTGTTATATGCTTTAGACGCTTTTACAATTGGGTTGTTTAAACCCATATCTGTTCTGGTGGTGATTTGATAAATATTATTTTGAGTTCTAGTTTCATAGTTATGTTTATCATGAGATATCATAATATTTATATTACATCTTTGGTTTTTGTTGATAATTTTATACAGTAGTTTTATTTGTTCTAACTTTAAAATTGCACTCAGTCTTGGAACATTCAACTCTCTATATAATGTTTCGGTATTTGTGAGCCTATCATAGTTAAATAAAATCTTTAATACTTTGTTTTGGAGCACCTGGACTGAGTTAAAGTCTGCGATACCACATGTACCCCATATTGGCAATAAATATCTAAAATGTGATACAAAGAAGGCATTATATATATTATATTTTGTTCGTTTAGTTAAGTAGTTTCTGCATCTATATATCATTGGTATCATAGGTATTATTTTATCAGTAATATATTCTACATGTTCGGTCCAACGTAGACCTCCTCCAATAATCAGGCCCAAATATTTGATGTTCCCCACTCTGTCCAGGCTATAGCCATTCATATTTATATTTATATTTTCAACATTTTTATTTTTTTGCTTTAATAACATATATTTTGTCTTGTCCACATTAATTTTTAATTTATTATGGCACAGCCAGTCGAGATACAGATTCAGATCAGTGTTCACAGTGAAACTCAATGTCCTCTCCTCTTCACCTGTGTACACCAGAACAGTGTCGTCAGCGAATGTGAAGTAACGAGCAATGAGGTTTGCACACCCCAAGTTGAGTACATATAGTGTGTATAGTAAAGGGCCCAGGACGGAACCTTGCGGGACCCCATACTCACTTGAGAGGATCTCACTGTCAACACCGCCGAGCCGAACATATTGTTTTCTTCCCACCAAATAAGTCCTAATTAAGTTATATATAACTCCCCTAAAACCCATATGCTCAAGTTTCTTCAATAGTATATCCGTGCTCACCACGTCAAATGCCTTTCGTAGGTCCACAAATACCGCAACAACTATTTGTTTATTATCTAATGCCCTGGATATGTAATTTATTAAGTCGGTTGTTGCACTAAGCGTGCTGCTATCTTTAACAAAACCATACTGGTACTGATCCGCGAGGTTATATCTATGAATAAAGGATGACATTCTTTTTTTTATTATTTTTTCCAACATTTTTGAAAATACACCTATAACAGATATTGGCCTATAGTTGTTCAAACAATTTTTGGGACCAGATTTAAATATTGGACTTATCCTACTTATTTTCATCTCCTGTGGAAAAATTCCATCTGTAAAAGTTTTATTGATTAATTTTGTTAAAATGTTAAGTAGATAATCTTTAAGATTAATCAAGTCCAATACTGTAATTCCATCATGGCCTGGTGCAGAGTTTCGCTTTAGTTCAGATATGGTTTTGCTAACTTCTTGTTCATTTGTTAATTCTACAAACATTGAACTATCACATTTTATTTCATCAAACTTAGAGCTAGGTCTCAATAATTTAATCTCTTCATTAATGTCTGTTACAATGGTCTTTCCTATTTTTGCAAAGTGATTATTTAGGCTATTTACTATATCATCAATACTATTTACAGTGACATTTCCCACTTCCAGTGAATCAATGTGCGTTTCTATTTTTTTTTCCTTAAAAAAGCTATTAATAAATTTCCATTGTTTCCTAATATTTGTTCCTGCTTGTTCCCACTTATTTCTAAAATACTGGTTTTTAAGAGTCCCAACTTTATTATTTACTTTATTTTTCAGAAATATAAACCTTTTTTCTAGTTCCCTATTGTTTGGATTTTTTAGTTTGTTTTTATAACTTTTATCACGCTCTTTCATCAAGTCGAGTAACTCTTGGTTAATCCAGGAATTATTTTCTCTTATTTTAAGTGATTTGACATATTCGCATTTTTGTTTGCAGGTAATTGGTGCAAGGATACTTTTCGAGAAAAACTTAAATATGTATATTATAGGTAGGTACCTACTTAAACGATTCCTCTAAATTTATCTTATTGAGAAAAAAAAATTATGCGGATTTCATAATGTATAAAATATTTTGGCACATAATATCTAATTATTGGGGGGGGGGGGGGGTTGAAACAAGCGTTTGGGTGCTTTAATAATAACTTTTATAGAAACTTTACATATGGCCTTCAAAAAGTAGATCGTAGATATCGGAATAAGCGCTTGGACACTTTAATAATAATTATTATAGAAATTTTACTTACGGTTCTCAAAAGTAGATCGTAGATTCACAAACACACATTAACATTAACAATACATTTAATTTGGAACAGAACATTGTTTTTTCATTCGTATTTTTCAGCAGACACAATAGGATCCCGAAATTACATATTTTTATACCTGAAGCATCGAATAACCAAAGTTTACGGAGGCCCACCAGAAAGAAATGTCAGTCAGGTAGAGGTAGGCTTTGTTGACAAACTTACAAACAAAAATAGTTTTTAATAATATGTAAGATATCTCCGACTAAAATATATTTTCAATGATGTGGGCTTGTTTACCTGAGATTGAGAATATTGTATTAGCCGTAAACTTTGGCACTGATGGCTTTTTGTCGCATTATTTCGGCCCTTTTATGTTTTATGCGCTGCAGACTACACATTCTCGCTTTATTTCTATCAACTCATTTGGTCAAAATTATTTCCATAATCGTCGATAGCTTAGTAACTAACGTTTCACTCTGTAAATAGGATGACGGTACCTACACAACACGTCAGTAAGCAATTAGGTTTTTTCGTTCAATAAAGAATTTAATCCGATCGCCGCGATAGACGTGAATCAATTGAAAAATAGAAGTCCTAAATCCTAATGAGTATTTATACAGATGATCAGCACTGGATTTTTCTTATTGATGCTTCTCCCTTACCTTGCTCTGACCTTAATTGCTGTTTCATCTGATTAAGAGCATTTTTTATTTTTAATTATTTAAAGGTAAGAAAATTATAAATTCCTGCGCTCACGGATGAAATACGATAAATGGTACGCGAATCGCTAATCACAGGTGGTGCGACTGACTTAAGATAGGTTGCGCTACTGTCTTAACGTGTGTTTTAGTCGATGGTCGATAGTACGCGTGATGGTGGATAGAGGGCGTAGGCGGCGACTAACTTTCCCAGTGCTGACATTGTGCCTTCTCTCTCACACCCGCAGAGACGGGGGTATAGTGCTGCCTCTCTCGCACCCATGGGGAGGATCCTATGATGCAGAAGGAACCATCTTACTCTACTGACAGGCACGTGATTTGTAAATTGAAACTGTCTGATCCAGTCACATGCTTGTCAAACTTTCGGAGCAAATCGACGAAAAAGATGACAATAACGAACACGGCCATTCATGTTTTGTTTGTATTGTCTTGTTGCGGCCCGTGTATTCCGAAAATATGGAGAATTTGATTGGTCGATAGGCCGTGGATTCCGGTTTGGAATCCACGGGGCGTGTAGAATTCGTATCATTAATCAGTTTGATAGCGAGCAAGAATGAATGTATTATTTAATGTTCCAAGAGACAAAACATTACGGACATGGTAAGATAGAATTATTTTAGAATAACTAGAGTCAACTTGGCTATATTCCGGTCATATAATAGAGGTAACAAACTGTTTCATGATGGTTTAAATTTGGTATGTTATTATTTGATTCAATACTAAAATCAAAAATAAGTCAGACTTTAATTTGTTGGAACTTAACCACTCGGCAATCAATTCAATTTTCAATATTGTCTTCAGCTAAGCGCGCGTCGGTCTATAAGTCCTTAACTATAAGGTTAAGAATTTCGTTCATATGTCAAACTATACTGGTCGTGACACTCTATTTTGTGAGTGTGAGTGTGGTATAGTTTATCTATTCTCAATTGAACCACCACAAAAAATAAATCTCCATTAACAGTCGGCGTTTTCTTTATGAAGCATAGGCGGCGAGGTTTCTAAAAATGTTTCATAATAAATAATAAATCAATATAATTTAGATATTATTCTACGTAAAATTTAATTTATATTTATTATTTATTTGAAATATTTTGGAATACACATGCCCTAGTGCCGTTAGGAGCTATTTTAAAGAATTATTTCATAAAAATATACACACGTATGAACCTGCCTCCGCCTCTGACAAAAAAACAAACTACTGTGAAAGTACACCGGCGACGCCGCGCCGCACAGTGGGTCCACATGCGAAAAAGTGCCGCATCGGGTTTTAAAAGCTAGATTCTTCTTGTAAGGAAGTATTACTGAGTATGACTGTATTTGATTTAAACGTAAGAATGTAAGGAATAAGAAAACGTCCATAAATTAAATTTTGGAGATAATTTTATTATTTATAAAAGAATAGCTTCAAACTCATTTTCTGAATCATTTACATCATCCGCAATGCTATCGATTTCTTCCGATTCCTCATCCGAACTGGAGTCATATGCCTGTGTCATTATGTCATTATCGATACAGGCCTCAATATTTAGTAAGTCAATGGGCAAATGTTCTTTTTCTGTTTTCTTCGAAAGCTTTGATTTTTGAAATGTTTGATAAATGTAAAAAAATAGAGGATCTGAAGTCAACATTAATCTATTAAAAACATCTTGCAAATTAGCCTTACGAGATATTTTCCGTGAAAAATCTGTCCTAAATTTCTTGAAGTCCTTATTTCGGGCTTCCTGAGGCTCTTCACTAAGGGCACCTACAAAATTGAAATTTTGAGCGTATTTTTAAATTCTTCCTAAAAATTTAACCGAAAATATAAAGAAAATTACCTAATGGAATGGAAGGAAACTTTTCCAGGTATTCGTGTCCATGGTACAGAATTTTATGTACTGTTGGGGAAAACTTAAATTGTGGATATATGTTGAGGAAAAGCTCCGCAGTTTCGAAGGCATATTTTTTGTAGGCTTCTGGTGAAATTGTCCTATTGCATGAAATAGCAGCGAGAATATTTGCAAATCTTTTTACGATAGATAATTCAATATCTATAATTTCAGATGTCAATTCCGAATTTTGAAAAAATCTTCGCGCTGTGTTTCCATCATGCGAAATGCCAAATCCAGGTTTTGGTTTGCCAATAATTAAACCAGTTTTTTCTTTGAAACTTTTTTGAACTTCTTTCTTTCTTATTTCCTGCTCATTTTTTGTTTCAGGCAGCCTAAATATGAAATTTATAATATGTTACAATAATTACTCTCAAATAAAGCAATAGGTACTTACTTATAACTACATCTTAGTAAAAACTCCATACAGTTAATTTTGGCATGAAGTGGAGATATCCCAAATTTGAATACATCCTTAGCAGTATTCTCCTTTGGTATCTCGTTTAAAGTTTTTGGACCAGCAAGACAAACAGGACATCTCTAAAAGTAAAAGAGCATAAAACCTAAAAGAGAGATGAAGGCCTCAAATCCTTACCGAAGTCGCCTTATTTTCGCTTATTGCATTTATTATTTTTCCATCCACCATAGTAAAAAGGAATTCGTGTTGTACAGTAACTTCAACAGAATTGTTTAGTCTAATTGTAGTGTTTGCTAATTCATCAATTTCTTTCATTACTCTTGAATACTCTTTTTGAGTGGAAGCAGTGTCTTCCTTGCAAAAAGCTATTCTAATTGGCCTGCACAAACTGTAAATAAAATATGTTTAAATTATTGAAAACCTTTAATTGTATTTTCTGGTAAATGGAAATAAGATATCATAAAAAAAAGCAAATTAATTTACCTGGAAGAACTTGGACTTTCATTTTTCCAGATAACCGAGTCTCCAGTTTTCAGTAAAAGGGGTACCAAATTCGTGCAAAATACAGTTGAATCTGTACTATTTGAATCAATAAATCTTTGTTTAAACTCTGGATGACCACTGCTACCATCCATACCCCATTTGTATATTGAAACGATATCACATGGGTGGTTTAAATCAGAGATATGTACCAAAATTTGTTCGACAGTTATGTCTACGAGATTTTGGAGTGATACCTTCGCTTCAATTTCTGTAAAATTGTCTAGATTTTCAATGGGATAGCTCATTTTTTTGTATTTCATTATCTCATGATATGAAGGGTAGATGTTGGTGTCTAAAATTAAAACGCACATCAATTTGTTGTTTAGTTTATTTATTAAAAAAATATTGGTACTTACCTTTCCAAATTGTGGCAGCCCGCATATTTTGATACTGCGCTTTTGTTTGTTTTCCATTTATAATAAACAAAGCTATTGCTTCATTAGGGGAAAAAGGTTTGGGTAACTTTTGACTAGGAACCGAAAGTACTTTCTCTGGAGATTTCACAGCAATAGAAACAGCTTTTGCCAAATCAGGTTTTTGTTCTTTTCTGAGAACAGATATCGCTGCGTAAGTCAGAGCTTCTGAACAGTAATTATCTCTTATATCTAAAATTTGTTTTGAGTTATCCTAAAAATATGTTTGCATAACTAGACTTACCTTTAGTATTTCGTTCTTGCTGAGATGCAGATAAATCTGAAAAACATTTTTTTTTTGAAGGGCCAGGTGCAACTGGCTCAGGAACATCAAACAATTCATGAGTGTCAGTAAAAAGTTTTTCTGCCAACCAGGATGCATTTTTTTGTGTAAATTTTGCCCAAGAATAACTTGAATCTCTCCATTTTTGTGCCCATTTTTTTATAAAATTTTTAATTGTATGTTTTAACATATCTTGCCGGTGTGTTAAATTAAAATTAATGCCGGATTCTTCCAAGCATGCTGATATATCATCGATAATCTCGACTTCAGATTTGCCGTTATATCCATGCTTTAAAAAAATATGGCATACCTCCATACGTGAACTCGTACCTAAAATTATGATAAACCTATAACATTTCGGACTTTTATGAAGATATTTGAAACCTTTATGTAAAGTTAACAACTAATAGAGAATAAAATAAATTACAAAAGTTATCTTTTTGAAAAAAGATAATTATTAGTAAAAAATTATTAGCTCTAACGTAAAAAATTAAATATTCGGCGGGTCATCGCGGGTCCAAATGTCATTGTAAATTGTACCTAAAGTGTCCCAAAAAATTCACACAAAAAAATTATTGCGTGCCTCGGCGTTCCTCTTAAGATATATTAATTTAAACAATATTTGGCTTTAAAAATATAAAGTACTTACGTGATATTTTTTTTTTCCATGATTATATATTTTTTGTCAACTATACTCAACTATTTAAATAGCTACCAAAACCACACAATCACTGGGCACTACGAACTTCGCAAAATAAAAATCGAGTAAAATCAAAAAAGACGCTCATCTTATCAACAAAAACAGATAAACATTATAAAAAACTATAACAATAAATAGCTCATACGGGGTCCTTTCAAAAAATATTTCTTAAACTGAGGTAATAGCAATATAATTCTTGAGGCGTATGCGGCACTTTTTCGCATTTGGAACCACTGTGCGCCGTCGCATCGCCCAGCAAATAAACATGAAGAAATCTTTTCGAAATTTCGTTCCAACAACCAGTATTTCATTTTGCCGATTGTAGTTTCTAGTAGGGAATATTCAAAACATTTATATAGGTTTTTTGAGTATTTATTCACGCCAAAGGTGCCTAATATTTGATCGTACCTTATGCATAGCTTGAAAATAAAGTGGTTCAATTTAGAATAGACAAACTATATTTGTGAGTATACAGGGTGGCTCAATTAGGCGTGGCGTGACGATATAAAAGTACGCAACTTTTATTGAACTAATTGACTTAAACTCACTAATTGCTTTCACTTAACTTTCCTGACTTATAACCTACGCGCCTCGGAGAAAAAAACGACGAATTAAACGTATCTAGAAACCAAGACAGGGATGTTCCAAGATGCACAATTGTGCATATTATGCACAATCTGATCTCAATATGCACCTTATGCACAATCTTGTTAAAATATGCACAATTTTCACAATCCGAATCCAGCCAAGACAAAATTATTTTCCTTCAGCGAACCTATGGCAATTTCGCCTTGCGCGTTGGTTGTGGTTACTGACATCTGTTATTTTGAAAGCTAAGCTCTAGACTTATAACTTGGAAAAGAGAGCTAAATGAGCTACGTAATGGCGGCTTACTTAAGGATGATACACACTACACTACTAAGGATTGCTTATCGGCCTATTTTTTGGTAATCGTCGCCATATTGATGTGTCACCATTTTCGACGTCATAGCTAAGTCGTCAGCTGTTTAAACAGCCTACGTCAAGGCGAGAAATAACATGCTGCCTAAGTCACAACTGGTGATTTGGCGCTGGGGGGGAGGGGGGATTTGTTCCACACAGGCCTTACGAGGATAGGCTATCCTATAGTAGTAGTGTGTATCCATCCTTGGGCTTACTTCCATTATCATCACTGTTAGTGAAAAGGTTTATCGCGAGTCACTGTAATTTTTATTTTACTTCGTCGCCTATAAATAAGAAAATTAGTATCATAAGTAAACTGTGTTTTTTTTTTAAAGATAAAAGTCAAAATGACATTATGTTGGCAATACAATGTAAAATTGTCAATGGTTTCAAATTTTTTATGTAGAAAAGGCTTGTGTTGCCAACATAGTTACTATATTTTTGACTTGGGGAATTATCTTTAAAAAAAAAACAGACTTTATTAATTTTTCGACAACTTGTAGGACAACTACCCCTGCTTTCTCTAAAACCCAAGAGATGGCGCTATTAATTGCGTCATTTACGTAATTTTTGAGCATGTGCACAATCTCAAACGAATATGCACAATTTTTCATTGGGTAAATGCACACTTGAAAATTTTCTTGGAACAACCCTGACCAAGAAGGATATTATAAAATTCTAATGGGAAACCATCTTGAAGCCTATAATGAGAAGTTTCCTGGCTTTTTTCGACTTAATAAACACCAATTTGAATTTGTTTTAACTCTTATTATTCATGAAGCTATAAAGAAAGCAATCTAAAAATAGTGTAAAAATTCCATTCATCGACATTTTTATAATAAACTCAGCATTTATTATATTTTTCACGCTCTCGTCATTATTTGATTGAAACTTTGACGTTAGCGACTTGTTGTTGAGCAGTCGAGACGTAGCCGTCATCGGCAGGCCGCTACAGTAAAAGGGCTAGGACAGAGCGGGGCCAAAATCGGTCATTTTCCCATGTAAATCTCCATAAGAAAATCTAAGGTCCGTTCTGGCAATTTTTGTACCGTTCAAGGTCATCGGTCCAGCCCGCCAGCCGCGGCTAAGCCCCGCCCCCTTTCCAGTGCCCGTGTCTTTCATCGGTCGCACTAACTGGTCAGCCGCCGCTGCGTTCGGGGTCATTGACCTGGCTCCAAGCGGCTCATCGAACACACATAGCAGCTCGTGACTTGGTACCTTATTCAAGGTGCATTGTATTGTATTATGGATATTATGATTATGTAGTTTATTTTCCACAGCTTTGTAAATGAGACTATGTCTTCCTACAATAAAGCAATATTGATTTGATTTGATTTGATTTGTACTGATGATGACTACTAATAATAAAAACGTCGTTTCGCCATCAGGTCTGATGATGACGTAACTAATAATAAAAACGTCATTTAGCCATTGGATCTGATGATGACGTAACTAATAATAAAAACGCCATCGGGTCGTCAACGTTTATTGCAACCGCAGCGAAACCATAACTTGTTACTTTCCTGTGACCTGCGATAAACAAGCTCTGACTAGTCTGTAGCCAATCACCAGCTTCGTATCCACCTGCACACTCCAGCGAACTTTTCCTAGAAATATGGGCCATCGTTTTAATTTTATTGTTGCTTATTACGCTGGCATCCTGCGATAAGCAAGTCCTAACAAGTCTCTAACCAATCCGAAGGCTGAGGTCTCTCGTCTCAATATAAGAAACGAGCGACAAGCCGGAGATTTTTTTTATTATTATTTACATCATATTAATAGCTACAACGCTTTCGCTCGTATTCAGAACAAAATCGCCGCTTGTTCGAGTGACTTGTTGAAAGTGATCAGTAAACTTTTGGATTGCGCCTATTTCTATATCAGTGTTGGAGTTAACAAAAGCGTAAGTATTATTACAGTTATTATTATTATCAACATGACTCATCATTTATACAAATATTTTTTGCAAAATAATTCCGTCTCAAGTTTTTTCCATCCTGGATTTTTGCTTCAAATATTCATTTCCTATCAATAATATATTGTTAAATTATATCAACATGTTCACCAACAAAACCAAAAATTAAGCAAACGCGTCCCATAGGAAATTACACTGCTTGAGCCGTCCTGCGGCAATACTGATAAACAATTTTTATTTAGAATAAACAAAATAACCTGTGACAATAATTCGTTCGATGTGTCCCATTATAGGATGCTGTAGTGGTAAATAAGGAAAATTCGTGACTGCCGCCGACGTTTAATGTGGGAATTTTATAAGCAAGGGTATCATATTTCACGGTTATTTTTACTTATAATTGATAAGCGTTTCCATTCTAGCAAAAACAAGCTCAAACTTGCATTTATATTTTGTCGATAATAAACAAAACATGTATGAATATTTTCACTGCCGACCAACTACCTACATATATTTAAAAACATTCCAGCACATAGCCCCATAATACTTCTTGTCAAGTTGGACAGTATCTATTACCCAACTAACAACCCTTGGGGCCAAAAAAAGGGTGATATCAAAAATTTTAAAAAGTACCTAACTATACCATAACTCTTTTGAGGGGGGGACAGCAATGCTGCTTTTTCCGGGGTGTGCGCAACCCTAACTATCAAGGGAATGCCTGAAAACTGGATTTTGACCATCTGCGCACATGTCGTTAGGGCCTTATTCTATTTTTCCAATTATTTCGTGTTCTAGCGATCCGATTTGATTCGTTCTTTTACCAAAAATTTTCAAATAATTAGTCGCGTATTTGAAGACTAGTTCCACCCGTTTAGCATATGCCAAAAGGGCCGTATTCTATTTTTTCAATTAATTAACGTTCTATCGACCCGATTCAATTTATTCTTCTGCCAAAAATTTCTAAATAATTAGTGGCATCAATGAAGACTAGTTCTACCCGTTTAGCATACGCCAAAAGGGCCGTAATCAGTTTTTACGATTAATCCACTCTCTATTGGCCCGATTTAATTTATTCTTTCACCAAAAACTTCTAAATAATTATTGACATCAATGAAGACTAGTTCCAGCCATTTAGCAGACGCTAACAGGGCCGTAACCAGTTTTTTTCGATAAATCCACTTTCTAGTGGTCCTGTTGCGGAAATAACCCACAACAAGTTTAAAATGTTATTATTTGTAGTTTATCAATATAATCTCAATTTCTATTATTTATCATAAAAATAATATTCTAAAAAAAGAATCCTGTAAAACTGGCAACAGCAGCCCTTTTGAATCGGTAAAATTACAGATTTCTTCATTACCCTATGAGCAATGGATCTATTTTGTTGTTGTGATTGGTCAGTTGCCACCCAACATCCCTGATTTATGCGACCTGCTCCGAAAAAGGCAGTCGACTCGACGCACGGTACACAACAGTAGTAATCAAGAAGCAGAAGAGTAAGCAAAGACTCTGCACCCTCTCGCCTCTGAACGCTCTACAGAGGAAAAAAACCCCCAGAAAACCCCCGTTAGTACGCGAATTATAGTAAAATACTACTCCCAGTGTCTCAAGGCCTGACATGGCCTATATTATCAACGATATTATTGATTACAATTCATGTAATTAACCCCTAAATTGTTGCAAGTCATCTCGGACCTAGCAAAATTCTCTACTACGCCTGTTTAAGGTTATTCCTGTCTCACTCTCGACGGGCTTCAACTCTGTATATCATTGTGTTCTCT